CTGATTCTCTTATACTGTGTCCAATCTAGATTTCATTCTGTATATTAAGCTTATACAATTTTTGAAAGAATATATTTTTATTTAAAGGATTCCAAATTATTCTATTTCATATGTCTATTTTTTTTCTGGCTGTTTGGTTTCATATTTTTATATTATTTTTCTGAGATATTATTTCTTCCTCTATCTCTTGGTAGAGTCTTAACCTACTTATTTTAGATTCTTTTTCATATTCTTTTATTGTTTTCATTTCCTATGGAGTGAATTACTATTCAATTGTTGATCTTATTGGCTGTCTTTCCTAGTGTTAGTTTTGGACATACATTTAATAATTTTAAAATTATATCATAATAATTTTCATGCTTATGTAGAATAGGAAGTTTTATTATATTTTTGTTTTATTTACTTCTAATGCTCATCACTTTCTGATTCACAGTACTGTAGTTGCCACTGGCTTCCCAGTCCAGAACCAGATCTTATACTGGTTCTTTGGGTGTCCTGCTCCTGTTATAGTGATATTTCAAACCTGTTTCTGAGCCAGTGGCTGGTGTGGCTAGGGCTTGGTAGTGAGACATGTCTGTCTCCTCTGCCTCTCCAAACATGGAACTTACAATAACCCCCTGTCTCAAGCACCAGTGAGAAGTTGCATTTCTACCTCTTTTCAGCTAGTCATTTTTAGCAGAGCCTGGCTGTGATCTCCTACCTCATTTGAGAATTATTTTGAGTTCTGGTTATTACACTGCAGCTGAATTCCAGGTTGCCTCTATCTACTTCTGGGAGCTGGGACAGCATCCACAGCTTCAGTCTCATCACCCCTCTGTATTTATTTTCTATTTCCAGCCCTTGAAGCTAACAAAAAGTACATCCCTACCCTATGTATACCCTATTTATGCCTGTCTCATTCCTTAGGGAAAAGCTTTCAGCCAGATTTTTTTTTTTAGACAGTCTTGTTCTGTTTCCCAGGCTGGTGTATGGTGGCATGATCTTGGCTCACTGCAACTTCTGCCTCCCAGGTTCAAGCAATTCTCCTGCCTGAGCCTCCTGAGTGGCTGGGATTATAGGTGTATGCCACCATGCCCAACTAATTTTTGTATTTTTAGTAGAGATGGGTTTCACCGTGTTGGCTAGGCTGGTCTCAGACTCCTGACCTTAGGTTACTTGCCTGCCTAGGCCTCCCAAAGTGCTGGGATTACAGGTGTGAGCCACCCACCGCACCTGGCCTTTTGGCAGATATTGATGAGAAAAAGATAGGTGCTTTGATATTAGTTACTCAATGTGCTATACCTCCCAGGGATTTTGTTTTTTCCTAGAAAGATGTAAATGCTAGATATGGTGCTGTACACATCAATGATGTATTAATTGTGGACAGTATTTGCTTTCTTGGGGACTCATGTTTCTAAAATCACCCATGTAGTACACAAAACATTATACCTATTTATCTCTTATCCTTTCTTTTAATTCTTTACAGAATCCACACATATTTATAGACTCAAGATTAGAGTTTATTATTAAGTCCTTCCATGCATTTCACGTCCCCAGTATTCCCTTCTTTCTTCTTTAATGATGTTGAGGAATACGGTCTTGAGGCTCTTGCCATCCATCCTTCTTTGTGTTCTCTGTGCTTTCTATGCTATTCACATCCTGGAGTCTTCTGCTTGCTCTGTTTTTCAGAGAACTCATTCTCACTCTTGGTTTTACATACCATCTCTGGTTTAAACTACTCTCAAATTTACATCTCTAATATAGAATAAGATCCAATAAGAAGTAATAAATATGGAAACAAGTATTTACTGAGTGGACCAGGCGTAGACCTGTGCTAAATATTTTTAGACATCCATTCATTTGGTCTCACAGTAGCCCTGTGAGATATAAAGATTATATAATGATTATTACAGATAAAAGAGATTAGTTTGTGAGCATTAAGAAAATTGCTGTCCTAATTTCTGGGACTGTGCAGCTTCCAGGATTCAGGACCTTCAGTTTTAAAGCCAGGAAAGTCTCAGGCAGACTGGAATGAACTGATCACTGAGGCCTAAGGCCATTGATTAGGAAGTGAGGAAGTCTGGGCTTGAACCCAGTCCCATCTGAGCAAATCCCTGCTCTTCACTGTGAAGTCATACTGTCTCTGTTAGAGAACAAAGTAGAATGAGAGAGTTGAGTCAGAGAGTAGAAGGTAAAGAAGGAATTCATGCAGGGGAAATTCACAGAGGGGAAAATCCTGAAATTTCATCAGGGGGATTTATGCTTTATCAGGAATCAGGAAACTCAGATTCTGGTTGCAGTTCATTCACAAATCCAGTGCTAAGCTGAAATCACTTATATCCCTATGTTGCTCTTCCCTCTCCTGTAAAACGAGAGGCTAAACAAGACAACTCCCAAGATTGTTTTCAATTTTAAAGTTGTTTTCCTTGAAACCATCCCTTATATAAATGCTCCAAAACCATTTCAGACCTTGTAAATATTTGCTAGTTTTTAAAAAAGGTTATAGAGATAAAAAAGAAAACAGAAAATAGAAGCCAGAATTTTGTAATATTTCACCATTTGCTCACATTTCTAGATTTTGCTCTTTAACATTACTGTTTCTGAGCACAGCATAATTCTATTGAAACAGTTTAACAGTTTTGGCCTTTAATTTATTGTACTTAATTTGTTGTAATTAACTCTATGGTGTTTTCATTGTTGTCTTTAACTGTTAACATAGTGTCCCAAACGTCTTAGTGGGGAATGCTTTATAAATTAAGTTTTCTCTCTTTATTGTTATTTTTAAAATGTTAATAGCTTCTATTTAAGGCATGTGTGATTAATAACTGAGAGAATGTACTTTTATAACAACACTGCTTTAATCTGTGAAAATCCCAAGCAAAACAGAGTCACAACATGTCACAATTATCACTGAAGACGTAACTGCATGTATTGATATGGAATTCTTCATAAGATGTTTTGAAATCATTTCTGATATAGTAGGGTGCTAAGGAAATAAGGCTCTTATTATCACCTTTTTTGTTTTTGGACATATGTGATCTGATACATTTCTTTTTTTTTTTTTTTTTTTTTTTTTTTTTTTTGAGACAGAGTTTCGCTCTTGTTACCCAGGCTGGAGTGCAATGGTGCGATCTCGGCTCACCGCAACCTCCGCCTCCTGGGTTCAGGCAATTCTCCTGCCTCAGCCTCCTGAGTTGCTGGGATTACAGGCACGCGCCACCATGCCCAGCTAATTTTTTGTAATTTTAGTAGAGACGGGGTTTCACCATGTTGACCAGGATGGTCTCGATCTCTTGACCTCGTGATCCGCCCGCCTCGGCCTCCCAAAGTGCTGGGATTACAGGCTTGAGCCACCGCGCCCGGCCGATCTGATACATTTCTAACTGAAATTCCCCAGAAATAAAATTTAAGATAAAACATAGCTTCTAATATTTTAACATTTTGTTCAAGAAAAGCCCAATCTCTCTATTACCCCCACCTCTGCCTTTCTCTTGGCATCTGAGGGTTATTAGTTAATAACTGAGTGGGAATTTCAGGTGAGAAAAATGTGGAATAATGTGAGCTTTTCTGGAACCAGTTTTTGGAGTGTGTGTGTGTGTTTCTTTACCACTTGCTTTGGATCAAAGTACTTAGCTTCTCATTGGATAATTATGGCCTTCCTATCAAGATCTTATCAAGATAACAAGAGGGAGCAAATTAAGCAAAGCCCATTAGTCACATTACAAAAATTCATGACAGGTTATACATGCATTTCAGTAGTAGTGGGGTTTCTAAATAAATATTAGGAACTCTGAGAAAACTAAGAAGATCGTAATGCTTTAGGACTTCTCTGCAGGAATTCAAATAAACAGTTTTTACAGAGTTTTTATTCCTTGACTAGTCATGTGTTCAGTCTTATGGAAGACAAAATAAATTTAAAGAACTAGTTCCTGCCCTGGAATCCAGCACAGATCTTGGTGGCTTTTACCAAAGCTCCATGCTTCATATTTCTTTTGAGTTAGTGTAAGAAGAGAAATGGAACTATCTGTGATGACTGGGGTAGTATTTTCAGGGTTCTAATAGGTTACATCAAAAAATTAGTAAAGTATATATTATTATTAAGTAAATTATAATTGATTTATAATATATAATCAAAAAAGTGCACAATTCCTGTGCGTAGCTCAGTGAATATTGACGAAATGAACACATTTGAGTAATCACCATCTGATAAAGAAATGCCCACTCTCTAGAGGGTATTCCAGAGGCCCTCCTTGTGCCCCCCACCTGGGACCCTGCACTCTTTCCTCACAGGTCACTATTATCCTGTTTCCTATTGTCATTAGTAAGTTTTGCCTGTTTTTGAACTTTATATTGTTAAAAATATAGACTATATCCCCTTTATGCTGGCTTATTTCAAAATAATATATTGAGAATATACTATGTCTTTGGGTAAAGCAGTTTATTTTTGCTGTTGTAAAATATTCCATTGTATAAATAAAATGCAAATTATTCTATTGTCAAGGTATGTTTGGGTTGCTTCTAGTTTTTAGCTGTTACAAATAGCACTGCTATTCTCATTCTTATATGAGCCTTTTGGTGTACATTATAAGCCTTTCCATTGGGAATCTAAGGGTTGGGTCATAGTATGGATTCAGTTTTTAAGGCACTGCAACAGGCAGTGTTAATTAGAACTGCTGAACTATTTCAGTAGTTCTGTATCTTTTTCAACATTTGGTATTTTCTAAGAAGCCATTCTTTTGGTTGTGTGATGGTTGTGGTTTTGTGTTTCCTGGGTGATGAATGAGTTTTGAATGAGTATCTTTTCACATGCTTCTTTCCCATTTGATTGCCTATTTTTATATTGAACTGCCTGTCTTTTTCATTGATTTGTAAAAGTTCTTTTACAAATTGTATGTTATATTTGTGCTTATAATTGTGGATGATACATGGACTAAAATGCAGTATTTCAATTTATTCTAGCAGTTGATCTCTACTCAAGTATGGCTCTATCTAACATTGATCATTTCCTTTTTACCCCCAAGTTACTCTACTTAACCACCATGAATGATAGTCTTGTCTCACCAACCCCAGCCCATCATCTGTTGGTAAGCTTTGATCTTCAGTGATTTTCGACATATGTGTTCGTATATTGCCAAATCCTGTTTTATACAGAAATGTATCAAAATCCTAAAATAAGTTCACAGAAATGTATCAAAATCCTAAAATAAGGTCACAGAAAAACTCCATAGCTTGTTGAATATGGCTCTGAATAGTTGGTTTTACCCATTAAGAGAGGCAAAAGGTAAAAAAAGAGTATAGTTTAGCAAAAAAGAGTAAGTGAAAGAATTTTAAAGTATAATGGGAAAGCGTTTTCAGTTTAACATCTCCTTTTTAATGAGTTGAGAACTGAAATGTATTAATAACTGCTTTTTTGTGATTTAAAGATTTAAATATTTTATGTAAAGCTGGGAATATTTGAGATCTCTTAATTAACATAAGTGTCCATGCATGCCCATAAGAGAATAGAACATAACATCTATTTTATGAAATAGTGAAAACTTATATCCAGAAGGTACCTTTGAAGTCGTTGATGGTGCATCTCTGAACCTGGGGTGTGGGGTTGAAGGTGGGTGGGAGGTAGTTGGGAGTGATGGGCAGTTCAAGGAAAGCCCCTGAGTCCCTCTTCTGTCAGAGCAGCCAGGCTTTTCACCTGTTATTCTCATTGGCTTCTGAGAAAAAGTTCCTTTAAGCATAAGTTGAAGCTACTATTTTTAATATTATGTGTCTATTTTAAATCTTTTGCTTCTAGTCAAGGAGGTAGGATTCAGAGAGGTTAATTGGTTTGCTTCATATAACTTTGGCAATGGCAGAATCAGGACTGAAATCCAAGTTTGCTCTCGTCACAGTGCTCCTAGAATCTGAGCTTTGTTTTAGGTGAAGTGATATCCTAGCTATTTATTTATATTCTTTCCTTCCTACTTCCTGGTTCTGGTTAGTATATTAACCTGCGTTATTTAGAGAATTAAAGGAAGGTTTCTGCATCAGGAAAGGAGTATAACTTCATGTGCTTGCCGCTGTTCCATGTGGTCCCTGGATTCCTTGCTTACCTGATATTAATCATAAATTCATAGAGTATCTTCTTTCCAGCTTATTTTATGGCCCTCTGACAAATTTGGATTATAATTTAATGATGTGATTATAAATTTCTTATTCTCCTATCATCTAGTGTAGTTGGACCTCTGTATCCATGGATTCCGCATACATGGGTTCAACTAAACACGGACTGAGAATATTAAAAAAATGGACAATTGTGGCTGTACTGAATGTGCACAGACTTTTTTCATTTCATTATTTTCTAAACTGTGGTTTTAGAACTACTTGCATAGCATTCACATTACATTAGGCATTTAAAATAATCTAGAGATGATTTAAACTATATGGGAATGGGAGGGTATGCATAGGTTATATACAAATACTATGGCATTTTACACAAGAGACTTGAGCAGCTGCAGATTTTGGCATTCACAGGGGTCTTGGAATCAATCCTTCATATACAAAGAAATGACTGTATACCTTTACACATTTTAGATGCCTAATCTTGGCCCTGTTATATTGGTCCTCATTGGGACTTGTACCGTTTGGTTTTCTTTACCTGCTCTCCTTTCTCTTTTCTTATTCCTATTGTTTGGTGCTGGCAGAACTGCACACCAGAGAGGTTTGAGGTGGAGGGACAGTGGGGAGAAAGTTTGGGTAGTAAATGAAGACTTACTTCCGTTTGCCGTAATATCAACTGCTGAAATTGCCTTTCCTGGAGCATGGCTTGTTTCCTGGCATCCTGCTAAATACTATAAGGCATTTTTTTTTTTTTTTTTTTTTGCCAACAGAATACTGAACATAAAGGCATGATAAGATGTTTTTATTTTGTTTTGTTTTATTTTATTTGAGACAGGCGAACTCTGTTGCCCAGGCTGGAATGCAGTGGCACAGTCATGGCTTACTGCAGCCTTGACTTCCCAGGCTCAAGTGATCCTCTCACCTCAGCCTCCAGTAGAGTAGCTGGGACTACATGAATGCACCACTGCACCTGGATAACTTTTGTATTTCTTGTAGAGAAGGAGTTTCACCATGTTGCCCAGGCTTGTCGTGAACTCCTGGGCTCAATCAATTCTTCTGCCTCCAATTCCCAAAGTGCTGGGATTGTAGTACTGAGCCACTTCACCCAGCCTTTCAGCCTTATCAGTCTTCTACTTTAGGAAGGTCAAGCTAAGAAGATAAGGTAGGGAAAAAGTTTCCATTTCTGTTTGTCTTTCATCCGTGTAGGAATGGAATTAGAAATCCTTAGCATTCCTGTAGTCTAGTTTCAGAGAACCTTAAGTTGTATCTACTGTAAGAGAAAGGGTGAAAGGACTTTTTCACAAATGTGCTGAGGGAAACATAAGAAGATAGGTCATCTCTGTCCAGTATACTGTTGCCATAATGACTGATTCTACAAATAACAAATGCTTTTTGAGATCCTTCTAAATCCGAGGCCTTTTCAAGGCATAGGAGATTGCAGAGAGGAAAACAGAATATTTGCCTTTATGAAAGCTACCTTGTAGAATACTGGTTACGTCAGTGCCCTGTTCAAAAACTTTCAATAGTTTTTTGACACTTTCAGCAGCGTGTAGTCTAGCCCTCTGCTGAAATCAGACACATGACTTGTTGTCACCTGGACTTGTATTCTCACCTCCATGCCTTTGCTTATGCTATTTCTCTCACTTTTCTGCCTTCTCTGTTTTAAGTTAGCTAATCTGATCCACTCAGGACTGATATTCAGTACCATAGGGGTGTACTGGCCAGCATTCGGTTCTGATTAACCCTGTGCTCACCCTTCCAAGTGTAGGTACCTCAGTTCTTCTTGAACCCTCTTTTACATCACCTTCTCAGCTTTCAGTGATGTCGTCTTCATTTGAACTTATGGTGCTCACAGATTTATATCACTTACTTCAGAAATAAGTGATATAAGCTCACAGATTTCCTTATGACATCTGGCATACTTTTTTGCATGTTGTTTTCATCTTTATTTACAATTTGATTTATGTTTTTGGCTTTTTTTTTCTGAAATAAATGGCAAGTCCCATACACAACTCAGATATTAAATATGCTTTTATTAGTTGATGGATGCACTCAGCATCTCATAACTGTCTGCTGGAGACTTAAAGTGGAGAGGGGCCCCATTTGCTGATATTTTATGTCACTGTGTCCATCTGTAAGTAATTCCATCCTTCATGGGCTTTATCCACCTCCAGCTCCTGTCTCAGAGTCCTCCCTCATCACCTTGGGGTTGCAGGGGCATTACCATGCCAGCACCCCTTAGGATGCTTGGCTAGTTTTCTGCATTGAAAGGACAGTGGGACGTCTTGCTTGCCAGCCAATTTAATGCAGGCTGACACTCCTGGCACACTGAATTAAGGTGGAGGAGCCAACAGCCCCAGAGAAGAGTCCATTTCTATGGAGATTAAAACAAGAAAATGACAGAGCACAAAACACTTTTATTTCCTTCTTATACTTAAAAATAAAGAAGATAGTAATTAAATAAGGCCAGAAGATGAGTTCTGATTGTTAATTGCTGAGGGAGATGCAGTATTTTAATTTATCCCAGTTCATTTGCAGAACTAGGCAGACAAGGTACATATTCTGTGCTCTAGCCCATGAGATGATGCTGACAATTTGAGAATTAATCATTTTTGTATGTTCCAGATTTGCTATTTTAAAACTGTAACTGCAATAGTATTTTTTCCCTTTTGGGTAGAAGCTGAGGGGAAGTGTTGTAACATTTTATCTAAGAGCATGGGTCCTGACCTTCATAGGGCAGAACTGGCTTACAGATTTACTAAAGTAATTACCAAATTATTTAATAGATCTTGAATTCTGAACTCATAGTTTGTTAGTCGAATCTGGCAACTGAATAATTATACATAGAGTCTTAGAACAAGGGCCTCCATGGAGCTCTGTTAAAGCATTTAATATTCCCATTTCTAATAGTAAATCCACATGGGCATAGAGTAGCATGCACTGATTGAAACTGACTCCTTGGCTATAGAGGTAACATTTGATGCATTTTGGATAATGCTTTGGAAGTAATGATAATGTCAAATATAGAAGGGCTCAGCTCAATGAACTCACTCAACAGCCCTTTATTGAGCACCTCCAGAATGCAATGCACTGGCCTGGGAACCATGAAGGATGAAGCACAAGGCAGATTTCATTCCTCTAACTGAACATTTAAATATTCTGGGAAACTTTAAAAAATGAAGATGCCTACGTTACATTCTAGACATGTATTTAAAAACTCCTCAGGTGATTCTGATATTCATCCAGTGCTGAGAACTACTGGTATAAAGTATAGTTTTGTTTTCAAGGCATTTGGAGTCTAGCTGGGAATATAGGACTAATTGGGAATATAGATATATAGTATATATCTATCACTCTGTTTTCAGCCGCTTATACAGACAGCATATGATAAATTTTTAGGGAGAGGCATGGACAACATAACTACTGTATTTAAGAGAGGATCAGATCACAGGAACAGAGGCTGGGTAGTCATGGAAGAGGTGGGATTTGAACCTAGGCTCTTAGGGCAGGTAAGATATAAATAAATATATAGGAGACGTCAAGACATTCTGAGTGGAAGGCTGAGATAAATGAAGCTTGAAGGTAGGTGCGTATAATGTATGTGCCAAGTACTAATTGGATATTAGTTGAAAGTAGTAAGAAAGTAAGTAGTGGAAAGTAGTAGAAAATCAGACACCTGCATAGGGTCTTGAGCCCAAACATCTGGATTTGAGGTTTGCACATGCCACTACATAGCTTCATACCCTGACAAGTTATTTTACTTCTTTAAGCTCCAGTTTCCACATCTGCCAGATATTCATAATAATAGTTCCTACTCGGTTGTTTAGATCCAGTAAAGTAATATGTATACGAGCACTCCATTAACGGCAGAGCTCTACCCAATGCTGGCTATCGTTATTGTCTTTTGGAGGGGAAGGCATTGAGGGTTATAAAGCATAGAAATGACATATAAAAAGTTTTAATCTTTCATCCTATTTACTTATGAGTGAGCAAAATAAATGGCTAAAAATAAATATTTATCATCACTGAATTACTTAATGTAACTGTGTTTAAGGATTTGGAGCTCAGCCTTCAAAAAAGAAGATTATCCTAACTGCCCCTTATGACTAATGCAGAGGCTATGGCTGAAAAAGCAAAATGTGAGTATCTACGCTTACCTAACAACTTGATGTATAAGTCATTAACACTTCAACTGTTTTAACTAATTTTTTCTATTAATTTGTGACTCTCAGAGCATCACACTGTTGGCACATCTTGAAAGGACTTTTTCCGTTCCCTTTTTATGAATAACTAATTTTGAGAGATCTTTTTAACTTATTGTGCTATCCCATAGGGTATTCACTTTTCATATATGGGCTATTCAGTCCTTGAAATAGGATGGTGGAAACTAAGGAACTGGTGGCTGGTGGATAGTAAGGAACTGAATATTTAATTTAAGTTTAATGAATTTTAATGTAAAATTAAAAACTGATAATTCAGTTACTGGAAAACTTGTTCTTTTTTTTTTCAGGAGACTATTTTATAAAATTTAAATACAGGTTAAGTAGTTCTGATAAAAATTTAGCATCTGAGTTCAGATGTATATAAATACAAGCAAATTACATACAGTTTTGAAGATGGAACAAAAAAGAATGTAAAATATCTAATTCATTTTTAATTTGATTAATGTTTAAATGCTAATGTTTGAGTGCATTTTATTTAAATAAAATAGTCTATAAAAATTAATTATTGTGTTATATAAATGAATTTCACCTTTTTAGTATGTCTATTGAAAGCATTTAAATTACATATAAATTACATATTCAGTTTACATTGTATTTTTTTCAGGTTTATTGAGGTACAGTTTATGAATAAAAATTGAATATATATGAAGGTGTACAACATGTGTGTTAACATACGTACACAATGTAAAATTATTTCCACTATCAAGCTAATTACATTTATTACTTCACATACTTAGCATTTTTTTCTGGTGTGATGAGACTACTTAAGATCTTTCTCTTAGCAAATTTCAGGTATACCATACATTATTAATTACACATTGTATTTCTTTTAGAGTTGAAATAGACTTGGCAACATGACAAGCAATCCTAACATATAGTACTGCACATAGAGCTGAGGTTATTACTGTTCTGCTACTTCCTCTTGGCTCCTGTTACCCCTGATGGTCTATGATACAGGCCAGCTGGCATCTGCCCAGGTCTGCCAATAGAGCTCTGTGATGATCACATTAACTCTTTTTATTTCAATAACACAGAACATTTTTAAAGATGAGAAGGTCAGAGAGGGTGGAAGATTCAGGAAGTAGAGGAGGAATATTCTCTAGTTCCATTTGCCTTAGGTCATGCCCACATGACCTTGATGCTATGAGCTTGCCATTTCCCTCCATCTCCATAGCAACCAGGCCGCAGTCTGAGAAATATTAACATAGAATATTTTTGGGCAGTACCCTGTAAAATCTGTCTGAGGTATATATGAAAATTAATAGCATTTCTTGGTGCAAGGAAGGCAAGATACTTTGTTAAAGAAGAACAAGGAATAAGGGCGGGGGAAAGTGAGTCAGTAAGAGACACTTTAACAGAGTGCCTTTAATTTAGAACTGAAGAGTTGAGTCTTAATACAGAATGTATTATGGGAAAAAGTGTTGAATATGTGTTTTAGGAGTTGATAACCAGATACCACTTGAAATTTGGGTTTTATTTGGTTCTTATAACTCTTTTTTAGGAAGAAATTAGAAATAATTTATGTTTTCTTCACTTAAATGAAATTAATAGAAAGTATTGAATTTGAAGTTTTTGTTCGAAGAGCTTCTGTTCAGTTTCCATGTTCCATAACTCTAAAGAGTTCGAAGAGCTTCTGTTCAGTTTCCATGTTCCATAACTCTAAACCCTAGAACTGATGGCCTTAATTCCAGCTCCTCTCCTCTCTAGCTTCTCCTCTCTCCATCTTCTCCCACTTCTCAGCACTCCAACCCTTCTTTCCATCTGAACTTGTTTACAAGCAGGTTCTTTCCACAGATGCAGTGTTATTCAGACCTTTATTTGTTTTTTGCTCAGTTGGTGTGTATTTACTTTTTAGCAAAGAAATTCTGCAAAATAAAACTTAGGAAGAGCTCAGATATGTGAAACAGATAAGATCTGGGCTCTGACTGAAAGAAGGAAGCACCCCCACAGCACATGAAGTTAATGAAGCACTTTAAATTTAGAACCACTGCCTAAGCCTGGTTTCCATTCACATGCATTTCTCTTGGGATATTTCTGCTTTCAATATTTTTTCAGTAATACAGTGTGAAGCTTTATCTTTTTTAAAGGGATATTCATTAGTGAGCTAGTGGTAGGGGGTGTTGGTGGTTGTTGGCTTCTATCACAGTGTCCATCTTAACTGACTGTCATGGCATTTATTTACACATTTTTTTCTTGCACTAGACCCTTAAGCACTTGGAAAGCAGAAATAGTTAGTCTTATTTATTTTAGCACATTTAGCATCAAAACAGCATCTAGCACTTAGTAGATATGTAATAAATATGTGCTCAACTGAGTCCTATTTTGTCTGAGGTGGGGCTTTTGTTACACCTGTCAGGCATTTACCCTGATTCTGTACATAGAGTTGGCCTTAGCCATGTGGCCATACATCTTTGCTTAAGATTATTTTTTAAATAAATACTTGTGAAGCCTCTCTGAAGAATGTAGCCTATTAATGGGAAGGATGGAAACCCTCTGAGTATGGCCAGTTATTTTTATTATGATTATGAAAAACAAATGTTTTTAAACCCCTGGGTCTTTTTGGATACAGAAAAGACTTACTCAATGATTCTAATTAAGAGATGGCTCATTTTTTTGGTCATAGTTTCCATAACTAGATTTTCTTTTTGTATCTTCACTTCAGAGGTTCACTGGAGCAACTATGTAGAACCTCTAAAGTAGTAGATAAACCTGATTTTATGAACCATCATTACTATCATGTTAGGCTGATGATATATGGAAAATGAGAGGTTTTTAAAAAGATAAAATAAATGTATGGAAATGTTTTAGGCTAGTGAAATATTTGGGATTAGAGGTACTCATATTTTTTTCCTATGGAAATGTTAGTATTTGCACTCTTGTCTTAGATGAGTTTAATATGACCGCTTCAACCTTTTCATGAACTTTATTGCAAAACATTTATTATTGCTTATAATGACTTACTATTGCTTTGGGGGGCTTTAATAACATCAAGAATAATATGTATGAAAATATTTTATTAACTGCAAACATGTTAATTAATTAGTTTTGGATAAAAGGAATTTTGTTAATACAATTTATCCAATCTGCATTAGAAAGTTATCTTTGTGATTTTGAAGAAATGAGGGTTGACTAAAAATATAATTATATAAACACTGTTGGAGAAACACTGTTACTATCAGCCCAATGATAGTAATACAATAATACCAAAAATAATAAAATTTCTCACATTTATTGAAAACTTATTTTGTGTCAGGTGCTGTGCTGTTTTGTAACAATGTTTAAGTTAAACTTCAGACAACTCTCTTTGGCATATATTATTATTATCCTCATTTTATAAATAAGAAAAATAAGGCTTAAGACAATAAGGTTCATGAGCAAATTGGAATGCAAACACAAAATAGAGTGACTCAAGAATATGAGCTCTTAAAAATCATTCTATATACTCTCAATATGTACAAATTAAACTGTAAGTGTAGTTTTCATAATACAGAAGGAACATACCTTAGCAACTTTCTCAAAATAATATATGAAGTGTACTTGAATGTGTAAAAGATGCAAACCTGTATTCTTGCCTCATTATGAACAAAGAAAGAGAAACCTCTAATATTATTGACTGGATGGAGATTTAATATAAATGTTGTTTAATTTCTTGTAATTTTTAGACTCATTTGTTGAATACATACATGTCCTTGGAAATTATAAAAATAAATGATTCTAGCATTGCCTTTCTAAGGCACTGAAGTATGAGTATCTTGTGCTAGCTTGTAAATTTAACTCTTTTGTTCAAGGCTACTTTTTAGTAATGGTAGAAAACCAGAACAGGTACCTCAGTGTCTCAAATGACAACAAGGGCTCAGTACTGCCAGCTGGAAGTCAATGTCCATATGCCTTCATTGGAGCCATTTCAGGATCTATGTGAAATTGCTGCTATCTGGACATGGCTGACTTTCTCTGCTCCTTTATGAACAGTCTCAGGTCTTGTTCTTCTCAATAATCTGGTGGCCTGACCGTATGGGTATGTTGTGACAGTACCTTGACATGTCAAGATCTGCTTTCTGGCCCCAACAAGGCCATTAGGGCTGCCAGAGCGCATATAGTTTCTCCATGGTCCACAGGTGATGAGTGGCACTTGTGGACAGGGGAAATCAGAGACTCATCAAGGAAGAACCCAGCAAGAAAGAAAATGCTACCTTGGGAATTTAACTCCTCTGTCAAAAGCTAATTTCTAGTTACAAAGGGGGAAATCGAAACAGCTGCATCAGCACATTACATGACAACAAGAGGCGGGAGTGCTGGCTTAAAATCCATATACCAGGGAAACATGCATATCTCACTAGGGTGACCATACAAGTTTCAGAGGAATTTCTAGTACTCACAGGCAGTACATGGCATCAGGAAAAGCAGCAGATATGTAGAAAAGGGCAGCAAGGAACTTAGGAGCACAGTGCCTACACAGCCTTAACACTGCTGTGTGACTTCAGCAGGCTGTCAGGTCTCTGCATCTCAGAACTTTGCCTGTAAATGAAGACTGGATCATCTCTAAGGTCTTGTCTGAAATGAAGACATGATGGTTTCCACAAAGCTACATTTTCAACAACAACAGAAAACCAGTGAATTAATATATTAATAAATTATATTGTTTATCATGTGCATGACACATGACAATGTTGTAATCATAAGTGATTGTAATTAAAGTGTTTGTAAGAGATATTTGAATAGTCTGAAGAAAGGAAGAAAAGAGGAAAGTATTGTTATGAGAGAAGGAAATGAAGGACAAGTTGTTAAGTCACACCTTGGAATAGCTCTCTGCCATTCCACCATGAAGTAAATGCTCTGGCTGGAGGCCTCCTCAAAGCAAAATTAGATTTTAGTTAAAATTTGATGAAACAGTTTTAATTCCAGAACTCTTGCCCTTTCCATGTGAGGAGAGTGCTTCTTATAACTTTGAACTGGGAAATTAATATGAACCAGGCTTCATTCCTTAGGACCTTGTTACCTCAAGGTAACAGCTACCTGTGGCCTGTGAGTCTACCTGATGAAAAGCAAGGAGATATTTTGTGCAGTAATAAAGAGACAATTTTACCTTCAACAATTTATTATGAAATTTTCAAACATATAGCAAACTTGAAAGAATTTTAAATCAATGCCCATAAGCTTACTACCCAGTTCTTATCATTAATATTTTACTATACTTGATTTGTCACATATCCATCCTTCATTCGACATGCATATCATTAGTTAGAATTCATTATTTGTTTATAGTTTTTCTTCTTTTGATGTAAAATATGCATACAAGGAAATGGAGAAATCTTAGATGTACATTCATTGAGTACACTCAGTGATAATATATGCCTTTGTAATCCAAATTCCTATCAAGATAAAGAACATTCCCATCTCTCCAGAAATTTTCTTCATGGCTCTTCTCAGTTAATCCATCATACCTCCCAGAAGAATAACTGTTCTGTTTGTTTTTTCTACCGTAGAGTAGTTTTATCTGTTCTAGAACTTCATATAGGGAACCATATAGTATGTGCTTTTTTGTATAAGTCTGCTTTAACTTGGCCTGTTTTTGAAATTTATCCATAGTGTTGTACATGTCAGAGGTACCTCTTTTTTATTGCTAAGTAGTCTTTTATTGTACACATATACCACTGTTTATCAACTCCCCTAATGTTACGTATCTGGGCTCTTTTCAATTTAGAATTATTATGAGTAAAGCTACTAAAAACATTCTTGTAAAAGTCTTTTGTAAACATACATTTTCATACTCTCTGGTAAATACCTAGGAGTGGAACTGCTGGGTTGCAGGATGGGTGTATATTTAGCTTTATAAGAGATTGTCATACCTTTTCCAAACTGATTATGCTATTTTCGTTTCCACCAGCAATAATTGAGGGTTCCAGTAGCTCTACAGCTGCATCAACATTTGATGTTATCAGTCTTTTAATTTTAGCTGTTTTGGTGAGCGTAGTGCTATCTCATTATAGTTTTGAGTTACATGAAGATTGAGTTTTTAATTGCTTAAAATATGGGTGGGTGAAGAGGAGAGAAAACCTTCATAGTAAGAGTATTAAAGGAGGTAGAGTTATAAAAACAGAAAGCCTACTGGCCAGACTTTGAAGAGGTAATATATTTAAATTTTACTGAGTTTGGGTTAAGAGGAGGAAGCCAAGAAACATAAGTGTCAGGATCAGCTAATATCATTCAATTTTTAGTATTGTTCCGGTAAAACAAGCACAGGATCAGCTAATAGTAAATAAAATATATAAAAAGGAAAACTTAGACAAGGCTAAATGAGAATGATGTAGTCTACATGCTATAGAATTGTACGCATTGTCCTGTTTAAAAGAAATTAAGAAACTTAGGCTGGGTGCTGTTGTTGACACCTGTAATTGCAGCATTTTTGGAGGACAAGGCATGTGGATTGCTTGAGCCCAGAAGTTCGAGACCAGCCTGGGCAACATGGTGAGACCCCATCTCTACAAAAAGTAGAAAAATTAGCTGAATGTGATGGTACATGCCTGTAGTCCCAGCTACTTGGAAGGCTAAGGTGGAAGGATTGCTTGAACTTGGAAAGCAGAGGTTGCAGTGAGCCATAATTGTGTCACTATACTCCAGACTAGGCAACAGAGGGAGACCCTGTCTCACCAAAAAAGAAAAAAAAAATTAAGAAACTTAGAAAATAGAAATAAAAATTATAATATCATCCATCCATCATCCATCCATAGGCATGTATTTTAAATTTAATTGCTACTTGTTTAATAAATTTATTGAGGCATTTTATTTTATACTTATGATTTTATCAACAAGTTGGAAGGTAAATACTCTTGAGGAAGTTTACATCTTCATGCATTAGTCATTAAATATGGAAAACACAGATAGACTTGTTAGTAACTTCTGTGCCCAAAACATGTTGTTATATCTTCTATATAGTAACATTTAAAGGACTTTCAGAATGGAAGGGTATTTCTATTTTGTTTATTTTCTTTGCTTTATCTGGGCTGAACTAACTTAAGATAATCTATCTTATCACCTGACCATTACAAGCTTATATTTATTCTTAAAAAGCAAAAATTACATTAACAGATCATTATATTCTTTTGCTTCCTCTTATAATGTCCACTTAAAAAATTCACTTTCACATTACCTGTTTAAAAAATGTTTCTGTTTCTTTATTAGGTCCTACATTAGAGATCACCAAGCAAGACTTTTTTCAAGAAGCAAAAACTCTCATTGCCCAGCATTATGAGAAAATAAATGAGGTTAATACTTTGCATTTATCTAATTTACATTTTTAAGTTTTTGCATACTACAATGATTATTCCAAAGGATTGCATAAACCCTAATTTGTGATTGAAGAAACAGAAAAGAGAGGCTGGGTGCAGTGGCTCACATCCGTAATCCCAGCACTTTGAGAGGCCGAGGTGGGTGGATCACGAGGTCAGGAGTTCCAGACCAGCTTGACCAACATGGTGAAACCCCGTCTCTACTAAAAATACAAAAAATTAGCCAGGTATGGTGGTGGATGCCCGTAGTCCCAGCTACTCTGGAGGCTGGGGCAGAAAATTGCTTGAATCCAAGAGACAGAGGTTGCAGATCATGCCACAGCATTTCAGTCTGGGTGACAGAGTGAGACTCCATCTCAAAAACAAAACAAGCAAACAAAAAGAAATAGAAAAGATAATAGAATTGAGAAAAACGAAATCCTCACTAGCTATAAAATAGATTTTATATGATGTTTTAAAATAAGACTTTTTAGTTACACAAATTTTAATTATACAAATGTGTTTGATTTGTACATTTAATACAGTTTAAAATTTTTGAAGAATTTTAAATAATTGGAATTTTCATCTCAAGTAAATATTCCTTTAAATACTGTTTAGACAAAGCTAAACTAAAAAATATATTGGGAGATGAATCTTTTTTATACCCTTAGCATGAGCACGCTTACCTGTATCTTCCATTATCTTGCATATATCTTTTTGCATTAGAATTGTCTATTTGCTGGTCTGATAGCTCATTGAGGGCATAGACTGGTTTTTGAATGTTGTATCTCTAGCAGTAATGATTGTACTCATTATTAATATAATAAATAAATATATGGCTCAATAAATATTTGCTGAATAGCATGTGTTTGCAAAGTGGGAAGAAGGAGTGGAAGGGAAAGGGATAGCAAAGAGATGGAGGAGGGTGAGCACAGGGTGACATTTTGGAGGAGAGCATCTATAGAGGAGGCAGCAAATTTGGGGAAGGGGCAACTATTGTGACAGATGGGCCTTTGGGAAGACAGGTGAGGGGAAGTTACCTTCGGATGGTTTACTGTGTGTCAAATGATCTTAGTCCTCTTTTGAATACTTAAAAAAATCTTTAAACAAAATTTTAAATAAGATTTTAAATACTTTTCAACATTTCTTGTAGGGAGGAGGATTCTAATTTTTACTTACGTTTCTTTTGAATGGTCCTCTGTACCAAGAATGGCATATATAGTTTTAAACTTGTAATCAGCATTATTCACATTGCTTAGCTAATATTTTCTCTAACAAATTTAAAATGATTTTCCATTATATTGATTTCACTGGTGGGAACATGGGATGAATGTTTCACAGTCTTCATCGTTAGACCGATATGCCTTAGAAACTTGACCTGTTTTAAAATTTTTATCTATTAATAATAGCCCAGTGTTCCATCTTAGGTTCCTGGCAAAAAGTAATATTAGAACACTAAAACTTCCTTATTGACATTTTGAATCAGCAACAATTTGAATTTTTCTAAACCTTTTCTTGGGTATGTGTGTTGTTGGGGGCATAGGGAAGAACTATAGTTCTATCTGTGTGTAGAATAATTATGCTGTTTGGATAATTACCTGTCAGAGATCCAGAGCTGTATTATTCCCCTATTGTCCAAGGTGGTCAAAATTAGGAGACAGTTATGATTAAAACGATATGAAATATATGTTGTATTACCAGTATGCTGTTTTTGAGAGCTTATCTCCGTGTATGTTCACTTATTTCTGGTTCAGCAAAGAAAGAGGTTTGAGGGGTGTTAGCATTTTATGGCTATCTAAAAGTTCTTCAAAGATGGTTGAAAATAATTTAATTCCTATATTAAATTGTCTATTTGAAAAACTTCTATTTTACAATGGACTTTGAAATCTGTATTAAAAAATATTACTTTGAGGAGAAAGTTGCTATTTTAAAATTTACATTTCTTTCAAAGTAGAATAGAATCCTTATGGTTGTGAAGGACTTTTGGAGAATGACATAGAAAAACATCTGATTTAGTTGGTTACTGTCATTTGTAATTTACACTAGAGTAGATGTATTATACAGTAAGGTACTTTGTAAAATGTTTCTAGTAGAGATGCAATTTTGTGAACTTATTAATAAAATGTATTATATAACATTATTAAATAATGCGTACTAAAGTTTTGCCAACATCTATTTTTGTTTTATTCATAGAATAAAGTTCAAGGTACTTCTGTAAATGTTTTTAGAAAGAAACACCAAAAACTGAAATCTGGCAAATACATACCTTTGGCGATTGACCAAAAGGAAACGCATGATGTGCTGCAAGAACATCGGGCAGTGCTCAGGAGGATTTGCTTTCCCAAGGAGCTTTCCAAAAGTGGACATCTTCAGGAACCCCTACCACCAATCTCCTTCAAGGAACCACACATTTTTAATAGAAGAGAAAAATGCAGGCCCATAGATCTAATTACAAAAGGTAAGTTTTCGGTGGAGTGAAGAAATTCAGCAAACCCATGGCAAAACTGTTTGCTTCTGTGTGCCTGTAATGGAATTTTCTTGTTCAAACAATTCCCTGAATTTTAAATCTTGGACCACCAGGAATTGAGAAGAATGCATTCTAAGGGGAAAGAGAAATTTAGGGGAACAAAAAACTGGTTAGCCATGTCTTCCAGAAGTGATCTTCTTCCTGGTTAAAATCCTCAGAGACTGTTTATTTTACAGATGCTAAAGCAGCTGTGGATGATAGCCCTGAATTCTGTTTTTGAGCAGGATTGATAGGATAGGCAACTTACTCATGAGTGTGTTTCCTCAAAACCCTAAAAAGATTTTTAGAAGCTATAGAGTTTTCCCATAAAAGAAATTGTAAAGGTTTATCCTCTATCAGGAACATGGTAAGGTATAAACTAGAGATTGATTTAAGCAAAGTGATAGTGTTTTCCTGAAACTAATGGCTTGAATACCTGACCATTTCTAGTATAGATTCCACAGCCTTATCTTATTTTTTTTCCTTTTCTGTTATTTCTAAATATGTTTATTCATTCATGCACTCATTTGTAGTTTTCCTAATCAACAAAGATTGACTGCTCTGTGGCAGGCACTAAGTTAGGAGCTGGAGAAACAGAGATTAAAAGGCTCAGAGAGTAATGGTGAGGATAAACACAGGGTAATTTCTTGCTATACAGTTTAACAGTTGTTGTAATAGAGGTCAGTGTGAAGCATTATGGAAACTCTGAGGGCTAGACTGCAAATTTATCAGAAAAAATATCTTTAGAACTGGGTTTTCAGGAGAAGCAGGATGGAAACAGGAGAGGCCATTTTGAGCTGCAGGAACAAAATGTATTAAAACTCTGAAGGATGTAAGAACACAATATATTTTAGGAAAGGAGGGATGTAGTAGGAAATAAAGTTTGGAAGATGGTAGGGCTAGAGTTTGAAGGGAATGTAATAGCCTAGCATATGAACTTATGTTTAATGGAAAGATAATGGTGATTTTAAATCTATAGGTGGGGGAAGAGATGAGGTATGAGCAGATCTTTCTGTTAGAAAAATAAAATTGGCAGCAGAGACTGTAGAGAGTGATGACAGAGAGCTAAATGAGGAGGCTGTTCAGGCTGTTCTGTGAGAGGTGACAGGGCCTGAATTAGGACAGTAGGGAAGCATAAAGTGTGGAGAAGGGCTGTTTCATCAGCATTTCTCAAAGCATGTGCCTCAGAATGTTAGTCCTGAGTGATGCGATGACCCTAACAAAGGATTCTTTGGTTAGATACGTTTAAAAAATGCCAATTATATTCGTTATTGGAGATTCATACTGATTATTAATATATTGACATGTCTGGGAAATACTGTAGAAAAGAATTCTGTTTACTGTTTTTAACCTTGCCACCCCAGTTCATTTGGGCAAAGAACCCTTATTTTTTTCACATTGTACCAATGAATGTCCTTGAGACTAGTGGTCTTTTTAATACATTTTGGTACATACAGAATTAGTGGATTATTTTAGGATGAGTAAACTGGCTTTTGAAAAATCAACTGATTGTGTAATGAAAATGAAGATGATAAGGATATTGACATTTCTAGACTGGCAAACTGGACAAAAGTCCTTAGGTTGATATAGAAATTTAGAGAGTGTCTTCGTCTGTTCTTGCTGCTGTAACAAAATGCGTGAATAATTCATAAACATACAAAATTTATAGTTCATAGTTATGGAGGCTGGAAAATCCTAGATCAAGGTACTAACTAGCAAGTTCAGTGTTTTGTAAGGGGTCCAGTCTCTGCTCCCAAGATGGTACCTTGAATGCTGTGTCCTCTGGAGAGGACAAAAGCTGTGTTCTCACATGTTGGAAGGGATGGAAGGGAAAAAGGGTGAGCAGCTCTCTGAAGCCTCTTTTAGAAGGGCATTATTCTCATTTATGAGGGTGAAGCCCTCATAGCTTAATCACTTTCTCAAAAGTCCTATCTCTTAATACTATCACATTGGATTCCAACATGAATTTTGAAGAGATACAAACATTTGAACCACAATAAAAGGAGAAACAAATTTTGGGCAGGTAGGGAAAGGGGTGGGGGGAAATAATGAATTCAGTTTTAGACCTGTTAAGTAGACACACATGTGGAGATAGCCATTGTGAAGTTGGAAAAGGAGATCTAGCCCTGGAGAGGTAGGTGAAGATCGAAGATCGATGTGAGGGGTCACTACCATACTGCAATTGTGGGGCTCATGTATTTTTTCACCTAACACTTGTTTAATATGTGAAGTATGAGAGACAAAAGATATGCTGCTTACCCACAAGAAATTCAAATTTGATGTATGTAGTTTTTGCAGTGGCATTGAAAGAGGATAAGTAGACAACGATAATAGTATAACTCATACTATAATAGAAAGACAGTCTACTGCTTTAAAATGAATAGGAGGATATCTGATTCAGATTCAGGGGTCAGGAATGGATTCCCAGGAAATTTGAAGTCTTTGGGAAATTTTGAAGGATAAATAAATGTCAACTCAAAAAAGAAAGGAAGTATTATCTAGCTAGAGGGCCTACCATCTACCTGATAGTAGGTATTTGAAAGTGATTATGATGTTATTGACAGAATTAACGTGATTTTACATGACTGGAACATGAGGATTGGGGAGGGATTAGAGATAACAGACTAAATACTGAAGAACATTGAACCTGAAAGCTAAGAGAACCATTGAAATGTTTTAAAGAGAAGTTGCAGTGATAACATTTGCATTTTAACATGTTTATTGGCTGTAGAGATGGGGTGTGATGGATTTTAGAGGCATAGAAACCAATAAGGAGATAGTAATTCACATGAGGAAAGGCAACTTAAATGAAGGTAGTAGCACTGGGATACTGTTGAGGGGAGATATTTTACAGATAATAGAAAGGTAGAGTTATTTAGACTTGGTCAACTATAAAGTAAAGCATAAGGCACAGGAAAGAGATGTGGTGCTGCGTTAGTGGTTTATACTAAGTGGCAGCATGAAGCCAGGAATAGCAAACTAGAAGGTCGGAGATGCATCTTACGTAATGGTAAAAACTGCCACCAGCAGTTGGATATGGAATCTAGATATGGAATCTAGACCATATACCTACTGAATGTTGTAGCTTTAGGTAAGGAAGTTGGAAAATGCATTATTAACATACGTTGGTGATTTCTGGCTGCCTTTGGGAAGTTATTAGAAACACGAGATAAACTGAGAAAAGTGCTGACTAGTTTCCAATTAGAAATGAAAGGGCATAGAGCGATACTAGGTATTTGGTGCCTTGGTTTTGAGCAAATATCTACTAAGGTGGGAAGAGATAGCATGGGGAGAAATGACAGATACAGGTGAGGGGATGGAAGGCAGCAAACCACACTGCCTTGTGTGTACCTATGCAACAGTCTTGCATGTTCATCACATGTACCCCAAAACCTAAAATGCAATAAAAAAAAAGACTTAGCATTGCAGCAAAAAGCATATTAAAAGTACATCTTTCACCATTAGCCCATTATCTCAGATACCCTCATGGCAGTCACTATTGAGAGACTAATCCAAGGGGTAAGAAAACAAAGATACAAAGGAGATTTTAGAATAATATATTTAAAAAATGACTTTGAATGTGGTTATTGTTATGCAGAATTAACTGGAAGCAAATAGATTTAAAAGTCTATCAGATTTTTTAGAGAATTATATTCCCAAAGAAATCATGAACCGTGATATAATTGAATGTTCAAAAAGTAGGGTAATCTAGATCAGGCATTCCCATACTTTTTACACAGGGAGCCAGTTCACTGTCCCTCAGACCATTGGAGGGCTGCCACATACTGTGCTCCTCTCACTGACCACCAATGAAAAAGGTGCCCCTTCCTGAAGTGCGGCGGGGGGCTGGATAAATGGCCTCGGGGGCCGCATGCAGCCCGCGGGCCGTAGTTTGGGGACACCTGATCTAGATTTATCAGGAAGTGGGTAACACAAACCATACAACCTCCAAGTTGTGTAATAGCAAGACATGGCTGAGGAGCAAGTAAAAGGCTTCTCAGAGAGTGGATCCAGAGGCCACTAAAAAAATGAAGAGAGTGCTTCCTAGGGAAAAATCATTGTCTATTCAAGGCACTTCCCCACCTCCAGGTTAGGGGGCCTTCTCAATGACTTTCCAATAGAATTTTGTAACATCTTTGTACGGGTGTCTATTGTGTTTACTTTCTTCCCTTTCACTATTGGATTTTTTACTGAGGTTATCCTGTATCTGCTCTATCTGCTCTATTACTGTATGTTATATGCTTTGGGGAAGGTAAAGAGACTTTCTGTAGTTGTTTTTCATATTACTGGAACATAAGGAGCCACATCTGGACTTGTTGGAGAAAACTACACAGCAGCTGGAGGTCCTGCTTTCTGAGCTGGGTGCAGTGCCTGGGGGGAACTTTGGGTTGTCTTCTTTGGGGAGAGGAAAGGTGTGTTCTGTAAAGGAACAAGAAGGAATGAATATTTAGTGTCCAAAAAGAACAGTCTGTAGCAGAAACTGGATAGATGTTCATCAAACTTACATGTTTTCTTCCTTGGTACTTGGACAATAGGTGGGGCTATGTGACAGATTTGTCTCAGTGGATTATAGCTGGAAGTGATACACACTCAAAAGTGTCATGTGTTCTCCTCCCAATGTGGCTCCTCACATTTTCAAGTAGGAGGACTTCTTTTCAATATCCTTAAAATATTTGCAGTTTCACTTATGAGACGACAGTGGTCATTGTACTTTTAACATGTCTTGATTAAAAAACTTAATTCAGATATGCAGTGAGTATATAAAGCTCAGTTCAGAGAGTACAAAGGAGAAAAAATGGACATAAATTGTGTCCTCATGGAACTTGTGGTCTAGCTAGGGAAACAGATAGAAATTAATAATCACATATATACAGATTGAAAGTAAATCACAAATAAATTCGACCTGGACTGGGTGTCAGCAAGCCTTCCTAAAGGAAATGACATTTGAGCTA